ATCTCAGAAAACCAGGAGGCGCTCAGGACACCAGGGGACTCAGAACACCAGGGTGTGCTCAGGACAGCAGGGGGCTCTCAGGACACCAGGGGGAGCTTAGGACACCATGGGGGGCTCAGAACACCAGTGAACACTGAGGACACGATGGTTGGGGGGAGGTGTGGCCAGAGGCACTGAGGACAACACTGCTCCCTTAGGAGGTAGCTCCACATCAGGTCCTTGGGTTGGGGCAGGGAGGAGGATGAGGGTTCCTTTCGGATCTGGACACTAAGCTGTTGGGAGTTTTCCTGCTTCCTTTGTGGATTCAATCATTGGCAGATTGTTCTCAAGTATAAAACTCTGCTTTCTTGTATTATGTAATGTTTTTGGCTTTGGAGGCTGCCAGAATTACATAGTATTGTGAGAGGATTTATTCTTAGTGTGTGCACAAGTGAGTGAAAGCTGCGATGTTAGGGGTGGCTTTGAAAGCTATGTTAGGGGTGGCTGAGGACAGTTTACAGGAAATGGTCATTACTATAGAAGGCTACTCATTTCTTTGCACATTTGCATAAACAATTGCAGTTAATGCACTAAAAACTGTGTCCATTCTTGTCCCTTTTTCTTAAATGTCTCCACTCTAAGGCCAATAATCTAACCAAGCTGGGTTTCAAAGACCACCAATCAAGTGAAGTCTGTTTAATGAAACACTTTGTGAAGAAAATATGCATCTTTTATTAGTAAGCTTTAAATTTTACATTGCTTTACAAATATTAATTTGGTAAATAGAATCTCATAATTATCTTCAGTAATTTAAAATCTCAAAGCCATGTCATATTAAGTAATCCGAGGTTTCTCACTGTGAATTAAGGTTTCTAAACATTAGAATAGTAAGAGAGTATAATGAAATTTTTGTGAAGTTTATAAAGAAAGATGAGGATATGTTTTTTGCTTTAAAATATTTTGTTTCCCAGTTTACAGTGCATTTCTACTGGTTTTAAATTAACAACCACTGTTTACGTCTCACCACTTTTTAAAAAGAACTGCTGAGTTTTTATTAATATTCCATAGCTGGAGTTTTGAAGTAAAAGCTCTAGTATCTTTGTATTAGTGTGAATGTGTGCTGGTATGTATGTGTTAATATGTATGTGTATATATGTTGTTATGCGTTGTGGCTACAAGGTACAAAATTGCCTTTAAAATAAGTAACTATTTTTAAATAAAGGAGCCCTAAAGACATTTTAAGTACCTGTGACATAAATTAATAGTTAATAAATGAGCTGGCTTTAAAATCATTGTTAAAGCAAAATTAGAGATATTTTCAGAATTATCAGCTTACCTTATTGTTTATATTAATTGATCAAGTGATTTTCTATTTAAAATCACAGCTAGATATTATATGGTGTTGAAATTTTTTATAAAGATTATAAAATTATAAACCTAGTTAAAGCCAGAATGATTTTTGTTATTTGGCAAATAATATGTTTAATATTGTTGTTTTAATAAAAAACAGGTAAATAGTTCTTAGAAAAATAATCATTTAATTAAACGTAAGATTTTTACTCAGGTAAATACATGAAATTCATGGGCTATAACATGGTTAACAAGGAAAAGACTTTAGAGTGTGAGTATTATAGCTTTCGTAAATAATCTAGGTAAACTCCTTAAAAATAAACTAAGTAAATGTAATAAAGTAAACCTTTTGCTAAACTAGTTCTACAATTTAAAAATGTAAAGTTTAATTAAGTAATAAATATTGACTAAATGTTTAAGTCATTACTAATTGTTTTAAAAA